ACCACCGACCTTCTCTTCCTCCTCGGGACCTACACGGACGGTTCAGGTTGTCGGCCGAATAGAAACTAGCGGGTACGACCTCTCCGGGACCTCGTCGGATCAACGTGGCAACGTTAACGCGACGTCCCAGGGCCGTGACAGGCTGTGCAACCTTGGCGATGTCCGACTGGTCGCGGACGCGGAGATAACGGCGAACCGTGAATCACCCTGGCGAATTTGCGAGAGCCATCGCGTTAGCTTTGCAGGGGCGTGCATTTGAATAAAAACGACAGTCGTGCATCAGGATACGTTCGGGGTCTGAACAGGGGGCTACGGGAATAATAGCGAGGGTGCCACGGGGATACTCGAGTGACATCGTGCCGCAAAGTACCACTGTCCCCTTTATATTCAGGAACATAAGCTCGCAAAGTTATTGGCCCATTCGGACCTCCTGCCTCCACGAAACACCGTCCCGTTTCTCATTCGCGTGTCCGATGGCGTTACTTTGCGCCCTCGAATCCCACCCTCTTTGTCCCTCTCTCTCTCTTCCTCTCTTTTTCCGTCTCTCCTCCGCTTCGTCCTTCGTCCTCGCCGCGAATCGAGTCCTCGTTGAGCCTCGCGTTCGAGCATCCGCGAAACGACCGGCCACGAAGATCGCAGAAACGATCGATCCGAATCATTCGCGATCGTTCCGATATCCAAACGAAATCGCGATCTCGGGACGAACGTTCCCCAGGGAGATTCTGATTTAAATCGACGACCAGTGGATTCTCTCGATTCATCGACGGAATTACCGAGCAAAGGCAAACATCGGGGGCAAGTGTTAGCGAAAATGCGTATCGAGATTGCTTTTAAATGCGCCACAGGGCACGGACGCGATGTTCCCGTCTTTGATAATTGCATCCGGTCGGGAGCTTTGTCCTGGAAACGAAAATTCGCGTCAATGGAGATACTCGGGATTGAAGATACTCGTAATGGTCGGACGAGTTCGAGAGATCTCGTCAAAAATAAAATTTCCCTCGAGAATCCACAAATGCGCGCTCTCTCTCTTTCTCTCTGAACGTTGATTTAAGATTCCGAGTCGAGAGATTCGGAATAATGGATCGGTTGGCTCTGCTCGTAGGATTCCCGGTTAAAGGCTGGAGGTTTCGGTCGGCTACCGGATAGCGTGAGACGTATATAATATATATATATATATACATACACGTATACATAGAGCGGGTATCCGAGGGCAGGTTAGAGAAGAGTTCCAGGGGAGTAAATGACAGGCCCCGCTGGCCGCTCCGGGCCCCAGAGATGATTATTTTGATTAATTTCTCCCGTCATTCGGTAGCCGGCGTCGTGCGGCCGATATATTCGTGAAACGCGATTCGCTTCTAATTTCCAGCCGTAATTGAAATCTACGCGAAGTGGGGAAAAAGGTCGCGGAGCTGGTGGGCGGAAATGGCGGAACGTGATCGCGCAGCGACGCCTGGCGGACGGAGAAACGCAAGGAAACGAAGGACGGGCCCAGGGCGAGCGGCATCACACGTGGAAACGTGCAACTACCAGACGATGGCTGCTCGTCATTCTACGAGAAATTACGTACGGCGATCATCTCGCGTCTGGGTAATTCGATCTAATTCCGCGATCCACCGGTGATTTTGGCTATCTTCCATAATCGAGCAGACCCGCCTTGCGCCAAGAAACCGAACCCGTAATGGGCTGGAATTAAGAGGAAACGTGCTCTTCGCTAATCTATTAATTCCTATACACGAAATTACCACCGGGCGTCGACAGAAACGAGTTTTCGCGAAACCGCTTCCATCGCGCATCCTTCTCCTTCTCTCCAGCTCCTCTCTCCCTCTCTCGCTCTCCCTCTCCCTCTTCCTTAATCCGTTTTACTGAACGTGTGTTATTACGTAAACCACGATTATCGTGCCTTCCGTTACCGACTCGGCGAACGCTTTCGTTCGGACTGTATACGCTCGAGTATTAGAACAAAAGAGACGCAGACAGTCGCCGGGCTCTTCGCGATTAGCATTCCGCTTACACGGAAATTGCCGGAAATTGCCGGAAATCCTGCTTTCCTACGGCGAAAGTCGTCAGATAAGAACGCATTCCCGGGGATCCTGACCGAGAAGGCGTAGGGTACGAGGGGGTCCGAGTGTTATCTCCAAAGGAGAGCGGACATTTGTCCCTTGTCGGCTTATCGCGGCTGCTTCTGCCATCCACCCTGCGCCGTGACGAGTAAACAATTCCATTTTCCAGTATCGCACGACCTGGCTCTTCTTCCTTGGGAAAAAATCGGTGAAAGTGTACCCTTAAAAGGACACGCTCCGGGCGTACCCTACTTTCGGCCTCCGCGTTACTCTAGGGATAAGGAGCGAAAAAGTATACTCAGATAAAAAGTATTCTCGAAATAGAAAGGTTTTAAAAAAGAAAAAATTCGACCAATCCCCAAGAGCGTACGTAGGAACGATCCGATCGGTTGATCCGAGTTAGCTACTAAAAGTTCGTTTCTGGCGCGCGCGCGCGCGCGCTCAAGCTTGGTGTAATTAATGTAAACGAATAGCAACAATTACGAGGAGGTTCTAGACGGGGTTCGCGATATCGATCAAGTTCTCGAAAGGCGGTCGGTGAAGAAAATTGCTCACATTTCTTAGGATAGGGTTGCAGAGAGCAAGACGCGTATTTCGTTTTTCGAAACGCAACGAGCATCAAGCTCGAGGCCCTAAAGAGCAACAACGAAGAACGGACAGCGGATCCGGCGCTGACGCTCATTACGATGATTGGCAGATTCAATTAACGAGCAGCCGGGCTCCAGCACGGCGGGGTCGCCTCGGCTTAACCTCGGCTAAATATTATTAATAATAATCAGCTCATTACCGGCTCCATTAATTATCCGGCTGTATATACGAGTTATCCAGCCTCCAGGAGCGCACCAGATTCCATACGATTCCAACGATATTCCCGATAATCGATACGAAACGTACGAGGCTCGCTATCTCGTTTATTAGTTAACCGTCGTTAGGACCGCGCTAATCGTACGATCGTATGCTCGTTCATTCCGTTCAATGTATTTACGGAATGCTTCGGAACAGGATATTGGGAGGGAAGGAAAAAATTTTCGCGAACAACAGACTTTCGTTTCCCTCGAATCAAAGCATCGCGCGGTAAACTCGCGCTTGCGTCCACGTTTCGAATCGAAATGCTCACGTGATTACGCGGCCGAGGCGCTGCGCACGTCCAATCGACGCGAGAACATAACCTCGATTCCTAAACTCGCGATACTGTCACGCGTGTAAGTGCGAGCGTTTAAACAAAAGGAGAAACGAGAATCGACGAGAATACCGAAATTTGTTCAGTACGGCAGGCTTTTGGATATCTGGTTAAACGGCAGATGGAAGGAAAAGAGAAAGTGGAATATTAATCCATTTAACAAACTCATTATCGATGAGATATATCGAACGTTTACTGTGCGCGTCGGCGGCGCGAACGTGCTCCTCCTATCCTGAAGGAACCCCGGTAATATTAGCGGGTTGGCACCCCTGCGGCTTGATTTACGGGCGCGCACTAACGAGCCTCGGTCTGCGTTGAACGCGAAGAGGTGGTGCACCTCCGTTCACCAGCTCTCGATCGTCCGACAGTGCTGGCCGCACGATGCGCCGCGATCAACGGTATCGCCCAAATTTATTCCGCACCCATCAACCTTCCGACCATCCACGATACGAACAATCCCTGGACGTATCATAAACAACGTACGAGCATGCGCGAAATACGACAAGGACGTAGATAGTATAAAAGAGAGAGAGAGGGAAAACTAGTGACTTTTACTCGTAGCGCCCTCTCACGAGTCGCCTTGAAATTATGTTTCGAAATGGAATTCGTCATACGCCCTCTCTCCATCGGCCGTGTATCGACGCCAATGCCCCAGAAGCACGAGGATGAATGCACCGAGGAGGAACGAAAGCCAGTCGAAAGGTTGAATCCGACGATATGCCAAACGGCCTGAAAGCTCGAAACGGGCCGACATCGCCGGCCCCCGAGGGCTGATTGGACCGTATTTGGCTGTAATTAAGGCACCGGCGGCGGCCATTAGCGACCGTGAAAACGAACAACATTGTTCCGCGGGCGAAAGCCGAGCTACGCTCTTCGACGTACCGGTATATCGAATGCTGCAACGATGAGCCAACGATTTTACACGAGTCACGAATATCCGTAACGGCGAACGTGCAGATGAACAAATTGGAAATGTAAATAAATAAATTGAAAATGTAAATAAACAAACCGAGAATGAAAATAAACGTCGTGTCGTTTCTTTGCGTATCCCCTTTATAGGTTAGTTCGCGTATTTTCGGAAAATTCGTTTAGGATGTATTTCTGGCCTTTTCGTTCGTACCTATGGTCGTGGAGAAGTTCCTTCTCGTTCTGGAACAAATAACTCCGTTAAAATTCCACGAAGTTTGTCAAGGAATACGGTGGACGTGAAAAGTAATCGTTAGTTCGCAGGGAATGCTCGTGAGGCCACGGCTGACAGATCAGAACGAATACGACAACAATACTGTTCGACTCGCGTAATTGGCGCCATGGGCACCCGGTGGGAGCATCTCACGGCTGAGCGAGGTGAGACGCCGATACAGGATGAAGAGATTTACAATGTTCCCGGCCGTAAAATAATCAATAAAATCTGTACAATGTAAAGAAACGGACGTGCGGCAGTGATTTAGTATGCGGAGCGCCGGCTTCGCTATTCTCTCCTTCCTTCGACTGCTTTTCTGTGCTATCCTTAAGGCCCGATTACATAGGCGAATCATAACCTCGCAAAATTGCGTCGGTTTTGGTAGAAACGCTGACGGTAAACGAAACTTGCCTTTAGAATGATAATTTCTCTTTGACGCTACTTTATTCCTTTGAAAAATGTAAATCGATTATCGAACAGGTAATCGTATCGTGTAATCCGGACGGTAGCGAACCTTGATGTAGGAAACATTAAATGTACACCGACGATAAAGGTCACGTTGATGACATTATGTTGGTAAATAACTTTTTATTCATCCTTACATACTCTCGACAAATGAATGACGACTATTTATTTCGCATTTGCCAATTGACAGTAATACGTAATAACGACGATAAAGAAAATCGTCGAAAGTTTCGTCGCATTCCTCGACACGCCTTTATCCGTAAAACGAGCACCGCTATAATGGAGACCGAGGAGATAATCAGGGTCGAGTAATCAAGTCGTATGGGCGGATTCAATGTGGGTAGAGCTTTAGGTTTCTGGTGGGAAATACAGCGAGTCGCCGCAGGGTTTTGCAGCAGGAGCCGACTATGGTGACGAATTTACGAGCTCCTTACGAGGCTGCCTTCTTCGAGCATAGCGAGCAATAAAGTACGAGGCCAGAGGATATTCGAAACAATCGTCCGAAAGGCCAGGACCTATCTCCACGCAAAATCCTCGGATCAAATTTAAAATTGATTTACGACTGATCGCTTATCGACCTTCGTCTTACCGGCCATCGTGATCACATTGATTCTACTTCCTGGTATACCTCTCTCGCAAAATATTATATTTTATGTCTCTTACCATCGCAAATTAATAGTCGCCAAAAAACAGAATGGAGTTTCAGAATGACGAGTCTACAAGTAAAGTACCGAAAACGGATTGGGAGATTCGCGTGAAAAGTGGAGAAAAAGTTTAACACGTCACTCATGCCTTGGATAAAAATGCGAGTATAAAAGTAGGCAGAAGTTGTTTCCCATAAAGATTGGAAGGATAAACGTTTCTTCTCATCGACTAGAAATTGTTTTCTCGCAAAGCAATTAACCAACATGGCGTCGTCGTTCTCAGTTCGTTTATGGTGGCGCTACCTATCGGAGTGACTACCTTGCAGTAGAGCAAAAGTCTTTGCTTGGAAACATCTCGTGCGCTGATATTTGTTTTATAGAAATAAATTTTACCTAGTCCTTCGAATTCTCGTTAAACGTCGGATTCTTAAATGTCGATGTAGCCTTTTTGTATAATGGATTTTCCCCCTAAATCAGCAGTTATTGCATTAATAAAATGAATTCAACTAATTAAATGAAAATAAAAAATCAATATCGTTTACCTTATCCCATTTAGCAAGAGCGCGTTGTCGTTCGAATCTTGCGAATTCCTGTTTATCGTGAATCGTTGTTAATATCTTCCAAATGAGGAGAATCAAGAAACCGATAATCACAGTACTAATTATTAATCCTACAGCAACACCTGTGATGCAAACGTTGGAATGCATGTATTATCGCACGTTGTATCCGGTTTACCATTATGCACTTACCGAGAACGTTAATAGGTTCAGGACACGCTCGCTCCTTTTCAGCCAGAATTTTAAATATCTTAATATCTCCCCCACTACCACCTCTGTAATATTCGTATTTGAACACAAATGTGCATCCAGCGTCGCCAGGAGTTCGACAAATATGAGCCCCAGTCTCCTCATCCTCTGGATGTTCTTCAACCTTGTCTACCTGTCCGTTTGAAAATTATAGCAGAACTTTAATGACGTTTCATTACCGCCATTTAAATACAAACAATCTATCGTCTTACGATATGTATGTCATGCAGACACTGATCGCAGCTCCTATTTTGAACGAGAGGTCCGGCATTGTGCACCATGCATTCGACGCAATTCTTCAATTCCTTGCACCGTTGTCCAGGACATATCTGAAACCGCGAGAACCCAATTTGTATACTTAATAAACTACTCGTCGAATATTCGCATATTGATAAGCAGATGAAAACTTACGGGACACTCCTCGCAGTACTGTCCCGAGTATCGGATGTTGTCATTTTCGTGACAATAACAGTTACCACAAATGCAATCACCACGACCGCTGCAAATCTCCATGGTTTCGCTGTTGGTCGGTATGCATGTGCTGTTGGTTTCTTTGCAGTCGCACGTCTCGCCACCCCATCCCGGCAAGCAATTGCAAGTACCGCATTCGCACTTGCCTCGCCCGCCACAAACCTTAAACGCAAGAACAACGTTAGAGGGAATAATAGAATACACGCAAGGACGTATAATTTATCCGCCGTTTTTCTAAAAGGCACCGTACAGGTTTCCTTAAAAGGGAAATTACCCGAACAACTTCACCACTGCGAAGTTTACGATACACGGATATATACGTTCGGCTGGTACGTAATAATGCGAAGTAAACAGCGTTTCTGCGCGCGCATGCATTCGTCGTGCTATTTCTACGCACCGCGCGAGAAATCGTTTAGCTGTCATTCTTCTCGTAACTTAAACCGTACTTCTGATGACCTCTCGCGTTGAAATCGTGCACTTCGTCGAGAAGCATCTTTTTTTTCCTTGTTTGCTTAATCGGTTATCGACGGGGACATTCACTTACCAATCCGCCGCTGCGTTTGCAAGAGAAATTATCGCATTCGCAATATTTCCCGTAAAAAACTTCTTGCGGATTGGGACGCTTTACGCAATCACACACACCACATTTACAGATCCCATGGCCACTACAAATTTCCGTGGTGTCGTTGTCAGGCTTGCAATTCGCCATTGCGGCTTCGCTCTCGGCTCTTACTTCGTTTCCCTCGCATTCACATTGCTTTCCGTAAAAGCCGTCATTGCAGGAGCAAATACCGCAGACCAAAGTACCATTTCCTCTGCAATCTTCCGAATTTTCCTTGTAACCCTACATTTTCAATCAAAATGTGCGAAAAAGGTTCAGATGGTGCATGTATACACGTCTGTGAAACTATAACGACGAGACAGATCTGCCAACTAGTGTTAGGTTAACCGTCTTACCGGATATTGTGGATCCTCGCAAGGACAACTGCATATTATACTCAGATCGATCGTCAAGCTCTCGTTTATGCCTCTTGGTTTTATCTGCATAGTAGTCTTGGTTTCCTCGGCATTTGTCGGACATTCCGTCGCCTATGTCGAACAAGAAGATTTTACGCATCAAAGATCGAAACAGTTTGTGCGACGTACGTCTCGAATGAAGTTATCCGATATATCAAAGTATGTATATATGTATGTACCTGCAACACTACTTCAAATTCAACGACATCGCTCACTCGTAATCCTCCGCATTCTTGTCGTTCTTTCAGTTCACCTTTCTTGTCCAAACATCGCGAGAAGTATTTCACGTCGATCATTTTTGGCGCATTGTCCGTCATTGTTATGGAGTTAACCAGTTTCTGAAGAAAATTATCAAGATTTATCCGTGAAGCACGAATATTAGGTATGCAGATTCGCACGTACCTCGTATTCTCTACTAACAAGAGAAACTACATTTTGAGAATCGCTATTTATCGTTCCAGTAGATGAGCCACTGATGCTTCGACTTAATAATTTGTACGTCGTATTCCTTTGGCTCGTAACGGCGAATATGATGTTCATGTTGTGCTCGCGAGCTATTCTGTTAATCTACGTAAAATACAGTTATAAACGAATACTTTACTTGCGCAGCGCATTTAAGCAAAAGATGAAATTGCATACCTGAGCTATGGATGGATAATCTTGGAGGAGCGAGTACGTATAGAACCCTTCGTCGTTCAGATGACAAAGGCAATCGTTGGGTTCGATTATTCCTGCAAGCTGAAACGCAAGTATATTTAATTTTCGAAGAAATATAAAGCAGTCTTCGTCCAATCGCGTTTACGTACTTTCCCATCCCCAGCTACGTGGAAACTGGCGTCTGTGGAGAAAATGATAAGATGTCTGGCATTCTGTCGCCAGCCAATTTCCTTGGTGCAAACCATCACCTGCATCAGTGCATCGAGACCACCCTCGGGAGAGTCGAGATTACCGGACACTGGCGCCTTTTGCACGTTAGTCTACCTCAAAAAAGAATTAGGATCACAGATTGAAAATTAGATTGTGAATTAGCAATCAAAGTAAATGACACTGTAAAACGATTACTTTGAAAAGGTTAAGGTTCTCGGTAAGAGGCATTTGATTCTTGTATCCATACGGCGGAGCACATGGTTTTCTTGTTGTACCCAATACACATGGTTGTTTTAGTCTGCAAGATTGGAACGTCAAATTAGAAAAGCGTAGCGACATGTATGGTATGTGAACATGAAAGTTTCAAGATACTTTTCCGGCTCTGTGCTTGTCATAGGCAATACAACTTTGTCCACGAAACTACCAAATCCTAAACGAAAATTTGATGTCAAATTACGCATAGCTTCTGCCAATTGGAGCCCCAGTTCTGACAATCGATCCCTATAAGTTACCATGGACGCCGATAAATCCATCAGATAATATAAATCCACTGGATAGTCCTCTGCCTGACTGTATCTCAAGATCAATCGATATTCTTCACCTGTGAACAAAGAATTAATTTCGAACGAGATGGTTTACCAAGAGAAACAATTTAGCCGTAACTACGAAAGGGCTTGCTTACCTCGTCTGAGTGTCAAATGAATCCTTTGGGGTTGAATCTGAACAGGACTCGAGCGTTTCGTCGAGGATAGCGGTTTATTTTCCAGCAGCGTTATATTATCTCTTGCATCTATCACATCTGATTTTTGACACCAGTGATCACCTTCTTTTAAAAATTTTTCTCTGGTAACACATCGTACCAAAGGTCCATTCCCGCTTTGATGGTACACCTAAATAAAATATTCATTGTCAATTTGAAAGTATTGAAAGCTTTTTATTGATAATTCAGGTATCAGTAATTACCGGAGTGGAGCACCAAACACATCGCGGAGTCTGCAGGCAATACTTGCAGGTTTGTTGAGACGCACAGAGACTTTCCGCATCTTTATACTGGCAAAACACTAAACAAAACAACTGAATCAAAAACAGGAATATCATCCAACGGGACATTATTTCACTTTTTGATGAGAATTTAGTTTTAAACAAGCGAAGTATGACTCTACTGACGATTTCAAAGGATATTGTGGTATCCCACGGAAATGACTCCGAGATAAAACATGCGTCATTGAGTAACTATTTTCTCTGACAAAGTTAATCTTTCAACCAGTGAGATGATCGTTAAACAAAGACATCTTTTTTATAGTAATAATAACGATGTTATATATTTATTGTACAGCTCGCCAATAAATTATTCTTATATAAAATGATATAATGTTGAATAAACTTTAGTACATTGTTATATAGACAATACGAGAATGTTTATATTATATAAATTTTTAATTTATTACACAAGAGTATAATCAAGTGACATCTCTTGCTTAATGTGAAAAGTTTTAAATTCAGTACCATCATATGGTAAACGTGTAGAGCTTCCATACCATATTCTGGAAATACAATATACATTAAACCAAACAAAATTTCCTCATTGCCAGACGCAAGTTACAGTGGAAATGATAGTGTAAGTATAGACAGTTGTTAAAAGATGGCGCAATTTACGTTAATCAATGTTCAGAAACGTAAAATCGATAGTGTTGAGAAAACAGCTTAAGTAGAAGGTTCGTAAACCCTCAGTGATCGTCTCTTTCATCGGCACGTTTCGCACACGGTGGTAAGTATACTATTCCAGTATATATTTTCACAGTGAACTAATTCTAATATTGAAATATTTATTTTGTGATATATAAAAATACTCTTATTGATTACGTAAGAGAACGCCCAAGAATGTTCCACACTATGCATTCTTTTAACTATTATTTAAGAAGTAGAATTGTTCGTGTTTTAAGAATGTATTTAATGAAATATTGCAGAAATATTAAATATTTCTTGAAATTAATATAAAATTTGGTATTTGCTGTATCTTTTTATGTTGTTAAGCTTAATGAGGTCTATTCAATTAGGAATTTATAGGTTAACGTCGCCGCACATTATATTCTTTTATTGACAAAAAAATGTCAACAATACTTATTTTAACTGAACTTAGTATTTAAACTCAATTAAATTTTACAGTATCAATAATAAATCTTATATTATAAAATGTATTTTTCTATTTTTATGCATTTAATACGTGTGATATCGGCATGTACTAACACAAATGGAGTAATAAATACGCCGCAAGTATGGTTACACTCTAATACTATAATGTATCTGATAACATTCAAACTATATTGACGTTTTATTTCCTTGTATTACAAAATGTCCGTTTCAATGTTTGTATAATGTACATGGTAATATTAATAATTAATTATAATAATATGACAAAATTAACTATGTACATCTTACATAAATTTAAAAAGTATTTTCATCTTTCACTTCCCATGACATAAATATATGACATTTTAATGTGATACATTTGTAGAAAATAAAATTTTGTTATATCACAGGTCGAAAATATATATTGTTACATAAAGATACTGAAATATAAAGTAACATGTAGTCTTAGACGACGCCAGATCTAACTTAACTAACATTTCGCATTAAGGTTATTTAACATCAAACATTAGTAACTTTACCAACAAAAATATCATTGATTTTCGTTTTATTTTTAATGGTCGATAGCAAGCCAATTTTTTAAATTAAATACATGTACGCGTTTGTCACTTTTTATCGATGCAATTTTCATGTTATTTATATTATTCGTCTCCCACATAAGTTTTTTTAAATTTCCAGTAAAATATATTTCTAGTTTGAAAAATAAGACAAAATAATGTGTAAAAATTTAACAAAATAACAAAATGATTTCTAATATAATTTTATGAACAATACATTAACAGAATTAGCATTAGCATTTAAAATAAACAAGCTGTTTACAATAATCTCCAATTTGGGACGTTCTCCAATTTTATATGTCTACTGCGTGTAATTTTGATGCCTATATTTCATGCAAAAAAAATACGCAACTTACGTGTTCTGTATTTCTTTTAGAGTACGAAGCAAACCTTTGGCATAGAGATGAATCTATCTCAACCCACCTTGTATGCTCTCAGATTATCTGTGCAACAGGTAAAATATATTTAACACTTAAAGATAAATCTTATATAATACATATCAAGTTCTTTCATACAAGACAATAGCCTTAAAACGTTATAATTTCTTTAGTTTATGTAATCCTTTTATAGAAAAAATAAAAATTCTACAAATTTGTTCTTTGGTGCAGGGGTCCGTTTCGTCCGCATTCCGTAAGAACATGCTGGAACGCAATGTTATCAAATCAGCGTATATCCTTGCAACTGTTGGCCTCTCTATGAGCATATTTTCTGTAAAGAAAATGTTAACCTCTAAACATCGAAGCCGCTTATAACAATTTACATAAAATCAGCAGCAACAAACCAATTTTAAGAAAAGAGGGGAAAGAGATAGCATACAAAGCAGAAGAAGAAGAAGAGGAAGAGAAAGTCTTAAAAAAGTTTATCATATCCGCGTTATCATTTATGAGAAAAATTTTCATTGGATTTTAATCCAAATCGAAACATCATTTGATTATATTATATGCCGAAAATTATGGATCTGGTATTATTGAACTTAATATTTTATAATTAGTCTACGCTCGTGGTCCATTTTTTTTGAACATTGAAGTTCCAACGAAGTACGTTAATCACATTCGATTTATATGTGATATCGTATTTTAATCGTTATTAAAAAAAATATTTAAGCAACTGTCGGTATAATTGAAGCTAATATGAAGAATTTTAAACATATATATTATAATCCAACTTAAATGATACGAATTAGTAATTTATCGTATGTTCTAAAACTTCTTATACGTTTAATCGATGTGCCATGTAGTCAAAATATAAAGTCACTTCGTCCGTAATATATATGTATAAAAAAATTAATATAATTCGACAATTTTAGACAATTCTAAGAACTCACTTTGAAAATGTTACTCTTTAAATGTGAAACCATAAAATCAGTTCATCAAGGTTTTATTACAATTGTTGCTGCTACCAAGTCACGGGCGTTGATGACGAAGTTGTTGAAACGCAACATTGTATAATTGTATAGATTGTATTCATTTTGTCGTAGTCAAATGATACAAATTCTTTGCCACACAAAGTTCAATGGATTTAAATTTTCTTATCACCTAGTCCCAACAATTTTGCGTTCCCATAAATGTAGTGATGTTCCTAGACAGGTTTACCTCGTCGTATTTATGGGTATGTTATCCTGTGACATTGCTAGGTGTAGTTTCTTCGCATCTATGACGTAATAAAAAGCGACAGAATCATATTTATTATACTTAACGTGTACATTTATTTATAATTATTATACAGTCTCACACTCGATATTTCTTGTCGCAACGTCTCATCTATATACTCCCGCACTCGTTCTTTCAAGCTCTCGATTTTATCTCGTATTCTCGTAAAAGATCTCATCCACACCAGGGAAACATCGACGTGATTAACCGTCATCAAATATATCGCACGTAAAACAATTTCACGTCTTTTCAATATGTAAAAAAATATCTGATTTGTAGAAGTTATCATTTAGTCGATCCTTCCCTTTGTGTGCATGCTGCTATTAGCACACGAAATATATAAGTAGCTATAGAATTAAAAATTTATAATCGTCGGACCACTCGATTCTTCGGCAGGTCAAGACACTAAACATACGTAAAATAAAAATGAAGATAAAACATAACGACGTGGCGCGCTTAACAATGGTAACAGTTACGAATTTTCAAGAAAAAAAGGCGATAGCGCTGATAATTTAACAATTCGTGCGCGTTTGAATCGCGACTACTGCGACTAATCGACTCGACATTCTTGTACTTACAAAAAAAACTTTGGCAATTGCTACACTTAATATACTTTGGCGAAATAAACGCGTTTCTCATTGGTCTGTCTCTTCTTTCACCTTATAAGTGTATTTTGATCTTATGCTAACGTAAAACGAACGAGTAGGAGTTCGAGGACGACGAAGAAAGGCGAGGGCGAGTTCTTCGGTTCCCCTGTTCATGTTTCCTTAATTAGTACACTAGTGGCAGTCTGGCAGAGAGGCAAGTGGTTGTTACGTGTTTAATAATTATAAACTTTAATTTCTTTCTTATGCGAGACAGTACCAATTAGTCTGAGTCCAAGGAGGTGTGCATCTTATATTGGCAATAAACAGCTATTTTTTTCTTTTTTTCTCACTTGTACTACTATTCAATTATTCGAGCTGCCCGACGATGTCGTGTTCGACTTTCACGAAATGTGTACACGGTTCTTTTGTAATTTCCAATAAGCTTTTACGATGGTACAGACGTTTCTTTTTCACAGAATGAAGCATCAAATATGCGTGCTGATTAAGATAAATAAATATCTTGGTTAAAAATCAATGCATTCGTGCCCTTAGGCTATGCGATTAGAACACTATCTAAGATTCAACGAAGTATCAATAAAATGATGACACATGAAATCTGGCGATTTCTTTTTTCTTCTCAACTATGTTTTCCATAGCTACTGCCCAAGCTTGACCTCCCTTCGATATTTTTTTCAAAATTAGTAATGCAACATAATTGTTGGAACAAGATATCGATTCAATAAAAATATATAATTGGCAAGTTCACGAATCGTCGTCGTCACTGTCGCATCTTATGATCATACGACGTATAAAAGGTCAATCTGTAAATAGTAAAAAGAGAGAAAAAGGAAGGAAAAGATACGTAAAATATTAAAAAGCGAACAGCTGCGCAATACGAACAAAAGACGTTGAACGATTCATGACAAATGTTATCTATAATGGATCACTCGCCTTTTCATAAAAGTGATTAAAAACTTAGCACATAATTCTTCTTCGTCAAAACGATTAAGATACTATTAAAAAAATAGATTTCGCATTAGCGATTATTCACGACGACGTTTTCTTAACCTTAATTATTAACGAAAACATTCGATTGTTTTCCGTTACTTTGTGTAATTTATACAGATTTATGCACATATTAATGTTTAACCAATTGTTCGCTATTTCAAAAGTCAATTAGAAACATTGTAAAATGATCGATACTGGCAAAAAAATACATAAAGAGGAACCGATTCTCCATAACGTTTGACGTTCTTATTGAGATCGTATCTCGCATTCTGTGCATGTAATTGGCCCCCATCGTACATAAAGACTCCACAGAAGTCGTGTATAGATTATCTTTAAAAATTTATTCGTTAAAAAAAGAAGAAAAAGACAACTGAATCCATGCACTTTGTGCAAAGACTGCTCGTACATTGATACTAATATATATCTCGTAATATAATAAAATACGTAACTTCGTTATCTCATCTTGTTCATACGTTCTACGTGAAAGACGTTGAAGTTGTTTAAAAATTGTATTTCTTTTGCTTCGGTTAGTCTCGAATATGAAATATTTTATAAAATCTGCAATAAAATAGAAATTTTTAATACACTTGATTCTGAAACAATTTGTAAATAAATTTAAAATAGTATACAAACAATGTGCTCGATATATCTAAAAGCATCTCACATTCAAGGCCAGACCATTATTTTCTTGCATCCTCTCTTCGTGATAAAGTTTCCTTATGTTTACAAATTATCATTACATCGTACCTTTCGTATCGCTCGAAAACTGTATACGCTTTTCGTACATTCATGATTTCCATATAAAATCTCAGAAGACGTCGTTTCAACTATATTTCGTCAAAGATTGTATAATCAAATTGATCATCCTTTGCATGCAAAAACATATTTTCCGCGTAAGAAATATTGTTTACAATCCTATACAATGAACCAAATACTTCTGCAACAATTCTCAACTAACGAGTGTTTCGCTACACTGAACATCAACACCAAAATGTGCACTTTAACGTTTCCTATGCCGCGCATAAATTTCCCGACGCTCGGTAGTAGATATACGTACATAATTTTCTGAAATATTGATCAATTTTTTCCATACGATATCAAGTAAATAGATATTTCTGTCTAGCACAGACTTCGTGCGCTTAGTACTTCTATCAACGTTAAGAAATATAGCGCTTACTCTTAATAAGAATATCAATTATCCAAGATAAGACACCTTAATACATAACAACATTTCCAATTTCGGTCAAAAAATGTCTGTCCTGTGTCAAACGTTGTTCGCATTATATGCTCATGATGCATGATGATTCATCTCAACTGACTAACCATTCATAAAACCTCGAAACACGCAGAAACATAACTATCCATCCTGATGCGATTCATTGTGAGAATATTCGAACATTCTGGTCCATTCGAGGATGTAGTAACATTAACAAAACGTGTAAATAGTTACGTACATATTGAACACTGTAATTCTTCCTTATTATTATCATATAAGAGAAATAGACTTTACAGGTATATTTCTTTTTTAACGTCTTATTCGTAGGAAAAACACTGACAAAGACTTCGAATAGACCAGTGCTGTTAGAAACTTTTCAACGGGTATACACGTTTACCCACCCTATAGAAATTCTTTTCAGCAGACTATAAACTGTGTGAATGTACATAATATTATGTATTATTTTGTAAGGGCTGACGTATACTGTACGACTGGAGTGCGTTGACTTAACAAGCGATAAAAATATGTAAAGACTGAGCTTTTCTTTCAACGTGGTACACATATACATATGCACCTACATATCTGGTTACGTACGTACGTACATACGTATATATATATATATATATGTATATATACACATACACACAGAGTCACGCTTGTTTTTCGCCCTCTTAATTCAGTTAAAATCGGATTCGTAACCCTGAATCGTAAAGCACTATATCCACACAGAACGTGCGATAAGTGAGCCAACAATATCTATTTATTTTGTTATTTAGTACTCTCGATCGTGATATCCCAGTTTATCGAAGAATTGATTTTCTGTACTGGTGATGACTGTGTGAATGTTACATTGAACCGGTTTTGTCTGCACTCTTTTGCCCGCACATCGTCCTTTCCTTTCTTCCGTAGGAAACATCGATGAAGCATCGCGATTTGAGCACTTGAGCGTTCCTATAGCTAACCGATCGCCAGTTTTATCTGCATTCATTCGATCGAATGCTTTTCTGGCACTTCGAACACGAAGTCGATTTCGTATTCCATACACTTTTGAAGCTAGGATACACATACACGCTTCGTGAAAATGGTAATCGTACCTCGTTTCTTGCACTGTTTATCACTGTAGTCGATGGTTGGAAAAAATCGGATAAAACAATGAATCCGCGGTAAGAAAAACCAATTTACACAACGACGACGACAATGACAGCACACGTATCGTCCCTGTTTTCTCGCATTCATCGAGGAGAAAAGCATACAACCTTATGACATCGAGGAACAGGGTAAACGCGGTGATCCCATCTGCGTGAGTACCCTATCGAGCCATTGCAATGGACCGTTTAAATGCAACTCGATCCAACAAGGAGTCGACGTCACGGTTTGCCGACGATACGCTGCTCCCCAACCCTTTACGAAACTCATTCTGATCGTACACATCCGAGTCAACTGATACACAGCTTCGAATCCTTGAGAAACCGATTGCGATAATAATGCCGCAAATTCTTGGTTGTTAAAAATCTTTAAATTGCAGCCTGCAAGAAAGATCAACAGGAAAAATTTCTGTAAGATAAGCTTTGATCTTTACGCTAAAGAAATACAAGAAAGGCACCCTTGGATAACGCTGAACGCACTACTTACCGGGTGGTATTTTACAAACTGTGGCTGGATGCCAACCGTAACGTTGATTACAATTAGGACTTTGCACGAAAATGCTCGAATCGGATAAACATTCGGCAAACACCTCACCGCCAATGTAATATAATCTAGCTCCTTTCCCAATATGCCGTCTCGTCTGTTCGACTACGGTATTTCTATTAACGTTCGACAGCAGACCCAAACAGAAACGTTCGGAATTACTTGGATCGGTAAATCCATCCACTGTTATGCTCGGTTGGGACGCATGAAAGGTTTCGCCCACTCTCGTATTCAATTCGTAGTAACTTATCGAACACCTTGCAAAAACGAAGAAACAAATATGAGGTTAAACAAAAAGACTTATTTGAATCATGCATCAATCGTATCCTCGATACAATCAGTGTCTTAAATGACACCCACTTGCATCGAGATTTAATTTTGCCTAATTTCATGAAGACCCACTCACCAAAAGGCTGGTTCGCAATACATAACTGGTTGTGCGTCCACAGGACTGGGAGACAAACGCGATAAGGACATATTGTCGTTGTGATCCATGTTATCACCATCTTCGCTTATATATCCAGGAGGAGGAGTATCGGCAGGAGGATCCATAGATCCAGGCGCCGGATGTGGTGAACCCTGAACACTTCCTAGGCTCCCAACGCTAGCCGGACTCGTCGCCTGCATACTCTAGAAAAAAAATAAAAATTTTTTCGAAAAATGTGACCTTTTAAACGCTATTTCTCGCAACCCAAGATGAATTCACTTGGCACCAACCTGCATTCCTTGATACGGATTGCTCGGTGGCTGCTGCTGTTGTTGCTGTTGTTGCTGCTGCGGTGATTGCGGTATACTCTGTTGATTATGGTGCTGATGATTTAACGTCGCGTGGAAGCTCGTATTTTCTGGCACGCTAACACTGAGCTCCTCGATGGAAGTGTTATAAAGGACGGACTCGTCCCCGGCTAAATTATGCCGTGGTACGAGAATGGCTGGCAAAACTGCAAAAATTCGTATACTAATAATCACACGATCTTTTATGCTTCTAGAAACCAAACTAATCATACCTTACTGATACTTTAGTACAGATATTTCGGAATAGAAACTTCTCAGTTTCGAATAATGAATAAAGTTGAACCCTGAACCGAGCGAATGTACATACGTTGACCATGACAAAATTTATTCTCTCAATACGAACTAGCGAGTCTGCGCCATCGAATCAGATCGCGCGGGAACGCACGTGACCACGAGAAGAAGTTACGAAAGCAATCGGTAGGAGCAGTGTACCTACCTGGTGTTTGTATTCGTTGATAATGGTACGGGTTGACGCAGACTTCGTCCCGTTTCTGCGTGAACGCGTACTCGCAATGCTCGATTGCCCTTAGTTCGTGGTGCGACTGCAAATCCGGCCAGCGCCAAAGTCGGCAGTAGATCACGTGCGGCAGGCCTTTGCCGCGCACTCCTTGGACACCGTTGTCACCGACGCCGCCTGGACTAGGCCTTTCGTCCAGAAACAAAACAAAGAAATCGATCGTTTAACGACTCGCTTTTATCTTATCTTTCTCCAACTTTAAAACAAACCTAATCGCTGGAATCGATTTCGAAAATTATTATTCCGCGTCGCATGTGCGCGCAGCCAATTGGCCCTCAAATCTAGACGCGATCGCATCACGTGACCGACCAACCCCGAACTTCGCGCAAAGTCGAACGAATATCGATATATCGATAGTGCGATTCGATTTACGACAGTCAAAAATTGCGACGTGCGATACGACAATTTACGAAGTCGCGTTTGTCGTCACCGATCGTAACGCGAAGAGGATAGTATCGACGAAACATCGGTGTTTAAGTTAGGCACCGTTTCGACGCGAAACCAAGTCTTAAAACTCTCGCTTTAATGTATATACGCGTCCAACCAACTTCCTCCTGCCTCCTTTGCTCTCTTTTCTCGCTCTAGTCTCCTGTGTTCGCGTCTGCCGCGCCGGAAGCGGTGGCGCCTGCCGACAAAAAGAAACTGCCGTCGTACATTCGGTGCAACGTTTCTCGCTTGACAGGGGTAACTTGCCGAACGAATCGACCCGCCCGATCGTCAATTGCCACGCATCGTTCCTCCTACTGATCTCCCTGCTTATCTTTCACGAGATCGACTTGACTAACTCGTGAACGTATTCGAGGGAGATCCACCGGAAACAGAGAAACTGCTCGCTGACAACAAGCAGAGTAAATGCATGGCGAATGATCGACACGGAAGTACTAGTACAATTTTATAACCTTAGTTCACTACATGTTTAAAATTCTACAGAATCGTTTACAAATCGAATGCCGAATTTTCGACGGGTTTAAAATGCAATACGAAACACGAAATGGACGAAATTCGATATACGTTCGATATCGTTCTCGTGCCGTGATTGTTAAATCTCTTCTTTTCCTCGAGTCATCTCCGCGGTTCTCCTTTCTTCTCTCCTCTCCTTGATCTCTTGGTCTATCTGCAGTTCTCTCTCGCTCGCTTTCTCTGCCTATCTATCCGTTCGTTACGTATAGTCTACGTGCATGTAACCCTCAATTGGAATCGCTCGACACTACTCTTCGTTACATAATAATTCAGAAACGCTCGCACGGAATTTATATGGTAGTTTCCTGCGCGATCTCGATCTCAATTCTAGGCCTGAATTCGCGTGTTAAGTATTATCACTGCGATTCACGGGGTTAACCCGACGACGGACGAGCATAGGAGAAAGTATAGTTCCGAGGGACACCGAAAACTCAACGACGAAACGCTCGAACATAACCAAGTTTCGCGTTTTATCGACATCGATGATATCATCATCATCACCGCGATAGCAAATAAACACGATGCTACAGCGAAATGTAATAAGCGGCTAAGACGAATATGGCATCCCGTAGTGTAACTCGTATATCGACCTTTCGTTCGAGACTATTCGACGTTCGTCCAAACGGTTGACATCGATGAAGATGTAAAGACGAAGAAATCATTGTGGATTTTTAAATGAAATTTGTCGAAATGTATTGCATGAAACCGCGGAGTACACACAACCGCCCTTGTTTCCTCCACTTGGTTGTTACGTAACAACGATGCGCCGATAATATCGACAATTCCGTTGCAATATCGAGTAGAACTTTGATGTTTCGACTATTCATCCGCGATGATGCGCGCGCGCCTTTTACCGATTGTTTCGGAAAGTGGCCGCGTGAGACCACCGTATTCGCGTTCACATCGAGTTGTGTCGATACGTCAATGTAGCAATCCTTCGATCGACTGATATCTATAGATCGATTAACCAGATCGAGTTTGCTTTCCGATAATTCCGAGGATCGTTGACAGATGGATGAGGAATCGAATGTTCTAAAGCAGGATAACGAGCGTGTTCGATCCCGGTTACACGGAAGGAACCAATGATCATACGTAAACTATACAGCCCGGGGAGGGAGAGAGGGAGGTGCAGAATCGCGACTAGGCGAAATAGGAAAGTGCTCTACCCGAGATCAGAAAGAACGTAGAGCGATGCACGAGTATCGTTCCTTCTGCAATTTCAGTCATCTTGCTGACGCACCATTGTCTACTCGAGGACAGAGAGTCGCGTTCACCGTGAAATTCTTTCCACGTATGCATCAAACGAGAGGCGCGACTTAATCGGGTTTAATCGTCGATTGCACGGACAACCAGACAGAGTGCGCTCCCACGTTTTTTAAAAGGAAGAAAGAAAAGAAAACAGACGGTACGTGAGCTGTGCACTTATTCGCACTGGCTGCGTTATAGCACTACTTGTCTCCTCGATTTACACACGCACGCACTCACACGACCGTGAAAAGACCAGGAGGTGATCCTGCGTGATCGGCCATTTTTCTGTCTCACATACCCTTTCAGGTATTCGTAGAAAAACGAATTTGTCGCACAAGGACAGTCGCCCCTTTTTTCCAAGAACGCAACGAGTTCTATGAAACGCTAAATTACCTGGTACAGATAAAACAGACATGGTAACGAACGGAATGTTTTGATTGGTAAACACAGCACGGCCTATCGATTTCTCGGATAATTTTGATCGACACACTGATGGCGGGCGAGTGCTATAGTGCAATATAAGGGAACGCGATTGCCGCGTCAAACTTTAGGCACCGTGTCAATGTCGCGACGACAAGTTCCGTTTATAAGACTATGAAATCGGAAAGGGAAAAAAAGAAAAAGAAGAAGCCAAGGGGAAAAGCTGCTTTGATAAAAACGAGCTAACGAAACCGACGCGATAAATTATATCATCTCGAGCGAAGCTACTCCGATTCCGTTCTCGAGTACATATGTGCCGCGCCGTTACAAGGATAACCGGAATACTTCTCGGAACGAAACGCTTTTGCACGGTATACCCGCATGGGAATAGTTTTCATTTTTCCTCATATTTTGTGATTTTTCATTTTCCATAATTTCTCTATCATTTTCCCTGTTTCAGTTTCGAGCGAAATGAAAACGTCGCGCCCCACCTCTATCATTGAGCGGAGCCGTAAAAAACCTACAAAGTCATCAAAAAATTATCTCGTCTCGCAGGTTTTCGTAAGTGCATTCAGCAAACGTGATCACGACGTGAATCGACATGGTGTTACGAACTTACGTAATTGCGTCTGCTATAAGTCGCGCTTTTCTTTCAACGGAAAAAAAGAGAGAGAGAGAGAGAGAGAGAGAGATTGCGTTAACGCAAAATCTGTGTCATTCATTTTCTACGTAAATACCCCTTACTGTATCGATTGTGTTACGTAAACATTGATCAAACCAGGTTCCACTAAGAGTATTTTCTATGATGCGTATAATTCTATACATAATCCATACAGGACATTTCTTATCACGAGCTACCAATCTGGCAAAATGGAAGCAGCCTGGATACTGGTTCGCGCATCGAACCAAAAAGGTTATGTTTACCGTGAGCCGCGGACAAAGGTTTCGAGCGGGCAAAGGAACAATTATGCACAACGCTCTCTTTGGACAACGATACAAGAAATACATTCAAGTTATGATTCTCTCGCATCCTCTTTAAACCATGACTTTTCATAAATCGTTATTTGATAATTCTAACCACAATTCGTGTAATGAAAATCTAACGACGAAATATTATTTAGGATTAGTATGAACTACGAACTAAAGTCCCGAATTAATGAAGGAATAATTTAAAATACTTTCATTGTTGTAATTCTTTCGTACTCTGTTAGAACCCTATTCTTTTATCAACTTTTGTAATATTACAAAATTGTAACCACGATGCGGGTAATCGAAATCGGACAAGAAATCAATATTATTGGGAAAAAAGCATTGTTAACATATTTTTAAATATTATTAAAATTATCATAATATAATAGATCATAAAATAATAATATTTAGAAATATTAGCCCTGCGTATAAATAAATACCTCGTGTTCGAGCAATCCAAGAACGCGAAAATTCATATCCAGAGAAATATACGATGGTCGAAAAAGAGCGATATTACGGCAGTTGACCAACCTAATAATCTACCGTACCCTTGCAGATGGTAAGGGACAGACGGACAAAAACAGAACAATATTCACGGAGCATCGCGACAACTCGGTCGGTGTATGCGCGCGACAAACAAGAATGTAATTTCCTCGAATAGCAATCGCAGCATGGAAGCGAGTGCGCGCGCAAATCGCGGCACAATATCAAACATTAGTTTTAATGGCCGAGTATTCTTCAGGTAGACGCTTATTTGATCGAGTAGCGTCGGCGTACAGTGTCAGCTAACGAAATCGAATTTCCGGACGATATCGCACGCGCATTACGTGATCTCGATCGATCGAAAAATTGCGAGTACGAGATTCGCGAGTTTAGGAAACGGGAAAAGTAACGCGAAGTGAAGCAAAGCTAAACCACCGCGAAGCGAGCGCGTTTCGTTTATGTTACAAAAGGATCTGCCTTTCTCGATGACAGACTTTCCCTCTCTTCTCCGAATATCCTTGAACGCGCGACAACGTGGCTAGGATTACTATTAATAAAGTCGTTACGAGTTGCGCGCCGAGCTACAATCGATTCCGATATGCGATTTATTCGCGCAGGCTACCTCGAATGCGTATCCTAACTGAATTATCGATATTTATCCCGCCATCGAATTCACTAACCAATGGACGCTAACGAACGTGCAAAAAGTGGGTATAACCTATACGAAGAAAGATTACGTCATAAATGTATAACGTTATTTTTTCAATTGCTCGTCTTATCGATTAGTTTTAATTATCGTCATAGATCATTAGCAGCAACTGTCTAATCTTGCAAAATTATTTATAGGTTATATATTATCGTTGCAGACATATCTATTAGCAAAAAGATATTATACAACTGACGATAGTTAGAACGTACGTGTATGGAAAATATATGAGCTTCTAATACATTTGTTATTAGATAAAAAAGATAAGAAGATGATGATCACAAAGGAAATATTCGCGCAAAAGGATAGATCCCGTACAGCAACGTGACTCACACGTGAGTTCCATTCACAGCGCACATTTCAATCGAAACGGATACTGCGTACGTTGATCGTTACTTATTTCAATCGGAAACACAAAGAATGGCCGGTAGAAATTTCGTTTATCGGTTTTTCCGTATCGAACAATGTTACGCGTCGTTCGTCTACTCATTTGTTTGTGATCGCATCTTCGTTAAGATTATTACATAACTACTAAGATAACGATGATGTACAATCAGTACGTGCAACTATCGTACGGTTTATCGTTTCGTATCGTACCTACAAACAATAAACAGATAAGCATCCGTGCATAATGACATAAATAACGTATTTAATATATCGTAACCTGTGTATTAATTAGACTAAAACACATCGAATAATGATCACGCGATGATCGCTTGCAATGCGTAAGAAATCTTGTAAACGTCGACTCGATTGAAAGATATTCAAAGTTCCTAAACTTTTATTCGAAAAAAGAATCTTATAGTACTAAGCGAACTCTCTAGCATATGAAAATAGAACGTACGCGCAGGTAAGCACTCGCGCGATTTTAGATCGACTGACTCTTGTAATCTGATAATGGAAAAACGAAATCTGTAAGAATGACATCTATTAGAACTTCAGGATAAATATTAGCAACCGACAGTATAATTCGAAATGAAAATTTTCTTAAATTTGATTTATTCGAAAGTTTATAAATATTAAATGTACGTAGAATTAACTGAATTTGATTACAATCGTCTACAAATTTCAAGAAATTAAACGTTCACCTCTTTATAACGTTCAAAAACTGTAATAACCAATAAACGTCATACAACAAATATGTATTAACCACGATCACGAATAAAATTATAATACTGCAGAGGAAACACTTCGTATAATACAATTATAAAAGAAATTATTACGAAATACTAGATTTAATAAATCCATTAGAAAAAGTGAAAAATCATTTCTACTTAGTACTAAAAAGAACTGTCAGTGAATATACAATGTGACATTATACGCACGAATACATGATACGTAAATATGAACGGCAAAGTGTACACGCAAACGCTTTCTATTTCTCTAAATTTTGATACAGACGATACAAATAAATATAATAGTCGAAATCCTCGAACTGACATGGTACATATTTCAAAATAGATATAAAAACAAGTAAATAATAGTAAAAAAATATTTATATATTCCATCAGTTGCAATATTTATGCACGCGCAAAGGCATATAAAGTAAGCGTACCTCGGTATAGTAATGCACTTCGTGTTGCAACTTTGCGTAGTAATGGCCTTCTCGAGTTCGTCGAGGCCGGTGGACTTTTTTAACTTTTTAACGAGACTTTTAACAGCTTTTTCACTCCATTTGTCTTCTCCTTCCGCTTTTTTCCAACCCAACAATCGCTTAACGATAGGCGGGTTAAAGCTGGACAGCATTGAAGTCATGATTTGGGCTACAAGAATTGCGCGCGACCTGCATTGGGCTGCCTCGACGTGCTACGACACGAACGAATTTTCACTCGCGATCTAATCTATGTAACCCAAACAGGGTTACCGTATGATTAACGTTTACCGTGAACTATTCAATCTTGACGAATGCGAATTTCTCATACGGGCGGCGAAAACTTTGCCACGGCCGCCATATTGTTCTTTAAGCACATTCGACGAAACTCGGTAATCTTCGGTCAATTTCGACCAAACCATTGAATATACGTAAAATAGAAAGTAATATCACGATAACTTCATCAAATTTCACTTAAACGATATTCATTTATTTAAAATCTGTATAATATGTTTTAATTTAATTTATATCTAATCCTATTTACAAATATTTTCTTATAATAATATACAAATATTTAATATAATAAAAATACTTATACTTTATGATTTCATAATAAAATTATAGAACTACGCGTATAGGGTGCGTATAAAGTCGTACTATATTAGCCAAGGTTTGCATTCAATTTAAGAAATATAGCGATTGGTTGATTCTAAATACCTAACCTAACAAAATAAGTCAAAACTAAAGTGACCAATCACGCGAATCTTCAGCAAATTTTCTTTATTTCTTAAGTTATTTTAACATAAATGTATTTCTTGAATATGTTTGTCAATTCTAATTTATTGTTAAAAATAAGAGACTGTTTTATAATTTAGTAGGACCTTTATGAAAAATTCATACATTATTGTTTTAGAAAAAAAGTATTTAGTAATAATTAGTGACAAGGTGTATATTTGTATTTGTATATAAGTGCAATGAATCGTGAAGGTAAATTAAATTGTTCAAATTTTTTCAAATTTAATTGAAAGAGTATCAATTATTAAGAAATATAATAATTAGACCTAATTATAGTTACTCTTAATGACTCAAAACTATTTTTTGACATATGTACAATATACTTAAGTTCTTAAGCTTTATAATGTAATAATGGTAATATTTTATAGAAGACAGAAGTGAGTCCGAAGAAGAACATGAGAAATCTAAAAGTCCATCCGTGGATTCTCAAAGATCTGCTAGAAGTCGATCCAAATCTAATTCTGGCAGTCCTTCTCCAAGGTTTCAATATTACAATTATCTAAATAATATAAAAATATTACTTGTGAGACATGGCAATGTTTAAAATTTTCTTTCAGATCCAATCAATCATCACCTGCACAACCAAGATCACCAGCGTCTGTGCTTTCTAATGCTAACTCTAGGAAATCATATTCTAGATCTCCTTCACGTTCACCTTCGAGGAACCGATCAATTTCCCCTTCTTCTGTTAAAAATCAAAGATCATCTAGAATTAATTCAAAATCTGTTGGAAGGAAAAGTACCTCAAGGTCACCTTCTAAATCTCCAACACCAGAAGTAGATGGAAAAATTATTCAAAGCGAATCGCAGTCACCTGGTTCTGTGGGTTCGGCAAAATCTCGATCACGTTCAAGATCAAGAAGTTCTTCTCCAGCAGAATCTGGAAAAAGTTCCGATTTAGCGTCCCGAGAAAATTCACGATCTAGATCCAGATCGACATCACCTAAACGTAGTAATCCACCATCAAAATGTTCTTCCCCAAAAGTTAATTCTCGTTCCTGTTCTAGATCACCTACGCCATTTAAGGCGCGTTCCCGATCAAATTCCCGCTCTCCTTCTAGATCTCCGAAGGTAGCTATTAGATCCAGATCGAATTCGCAAAAATCGCCTCAAGCCGCATTTCGATCACCATCAAATAGTCCTAGTCGAAAGTCACGTAGTAGGTCTCCCAGATCACGTTTAGATGAGAAAAAAGCTTCACTTTCTCCAGCTTTGGAAGAAAAAGATCACTCACCATCGCGTGTTAAAAATTCTCCACCACGTATGAGATCCAAATCTCGATCGCTGGATAGATCAAGAAAAGATTCCCCTAATTCGCACAATAGTACACGTTCGAAATCCCTTACGAAATCTCCAGATAATAAACGTAAATCTCGATCCCGATCTGGATCTAAATCAGATTCTGAATCAAGAAAACAATCACCTGGAACATCGCGAAAAGAATCCTTATCTAGATCACCTTCAGTGGAACTTAAGGTACCATCACGTTCGAAATCAAGGACACCGTCAGATTCGAGACTCGCATCAAAATCTAGATCACGCTCAAGATCCGGTTCAAGAAAATCAGTGTCCAGATCAAAGTCAAGATCTTTATCAGGATCGCGTAAAGGATCACAGTCTCCTAATTCAAGAAAAAGTTCTCGTTCTCGGTCAAGATCTAGTTCTAGATCATCTAAATCCCGATCTCGATCTCGATCTCGATCTCGCTCTAGCTCAAAAGTGTCTCGTTCCAGATCACGTTCCGGATCGCGATCAAAATCGAGATCACGATCAAAATCAAAATCCCGCTCCAGATCCCTTTCAGGTTCGCCATCAAGATCACATTCTAGATCACGTTCACCATCGCATTCAAGGTCAAGGTCAGCATCAGCTGTTGGATCTAGACATTCATCGCGATCCAAATCAAGATCAAGGTCTCGTTCAGAATCAAAGTCTAGAAGATCAAGAAGTCGCAGTGAAGATTCTGAAGATGCTATTAAAAAAAAGAATAGAGTTTTATCCGATTCTGAAGAAGAAGAGGGTGGTATTAAAGCAACAAAAAAGATAAAACATGGAATAACCGATTCGGATAATGAAGTAGACGATGAAGTAACAAAAGTAAAAAAAGATGGAGATGAACAAAAGGAAGAAGGTGAAGTAGCAGGAAACAAAGAGTTTCAAGATACTGTACAAGAGAACGAAGATTCTGATGATGAAATAATCGCGGAAGGAGGATTGTAAGTAAATTATGTTTTATATGTGAAAAATTATGCCTGTAATAAAAATTTAATTCTTATATTTCATATATGCTTATCAGGAGTAGCAGATATATGTAAGTAATGATATCTAATTAGATGAAATTAGATTTTATTTATTAACAAATCTAATGAAATATTAATGATTATACATACAAAATTGGCAATAAATGCATTGATTTTCAGAGATGATTCAATGTCAGATTTTGATCGTATGTTAGCTCGTAAGAAAGAAGAACAATCACGAAGACGCAAAAGAAAAGATATTGATATAATTAACGATAATGACGACATTATAGCTCAATTATTATCTGATATGAAATCTGCATCAGAGGAAGATAGAAAATTAAATCAGCAGAATAAACCAGCTACCAATAAAATTGCAATGTTACCGAAAGTATTATCACAACTTAAAAAACACGATCTTCAGTTAGCTTTCTTGGAGCATAATGTATTGTCAGTTTTAACAGATTGGTTGGCGCCGATGCCTGATCGCTCCTTGCCATCTTTAAAAATAAGAGATAGTCTTTTGAAGCTTTTGTGGGAAGTAGGTTTACGACTTGATCATTTATATACAAGATTTATACATACATATATTGTACATATAATATATATTTTAGTTTCCACGAATCGACCAAGCTTCCTTAAAACAATCTGGTATTGGTAAAGCTGTAATGTATCTTTATAAGCATCCTAAAGAAACGAAAGAAAATAAAGAGCGGGCCGGCAAATTAATTAATGAATGGGCACGACCCATATTTAATTTATCTGCAGATTTTAAAGCCTTATCAAAGGAAGAAAGAATGCAAAGAGATTTGGAACAAACACCTCAAAAACGAAGAAAAATCGATGATGGTGGTTCTTCCCAAAAATCACAAGATATTAATAAAGCTTTAAAAGGAGATGCTAAGTATGAATTTTTCAAACCTTTATTATCAAAACTATTAATTTTAATTGATTGATGTAATAAAATCCTTTCTTTAGGCCATTGAGGCCTGGAGATCCTGGTTGGGTTGGAAGGGCTAGAGTTCCTAGACCTTCTAATAAAGATTATGTTATAAGACCTGATTGGAAGTCTGATGTTGATATTAGTAGAGTAAGTATACTTATTTTACATTTCATTCATACTGTTATTTTACGTATATTTCAAACTTATATGACATTATGTGACATTACAGAGTACTAAGAAACAAATGAATAGATTCGAAAGGCATATGAAAAACTACATTGATAGTAAACGAATAAAAGCAACTAGGAGAGCAGTGGATATATCTATCGAAGGCCGTAAAATGTCTTTATAACGTTAACACTTTTTAACCGTTACGAAAGAAGTGTTATATAAGACTTGTACTGTGTAATTATACACAGAAATCAACAATTCAGATATTAAATCGTGTAACTTAAGATTATAATAACAATTGTGCTTAATAAAAATGTTCGATATAAATTTTCGTCCATGTTTATTTTTTTTTTGTATTAACGTGAAAATAGTTCTAAAACCAACTATTATTTTTCTTTAAAATCATTATAACGAACTGTTATTTGCAATCCAATGTGTATTTAATGCTTTTTTTTTGTTTTGTATAATTTCAAAAAATAGCAAATCTGAAAGTAGTGATTAAATTTCTTTAAATTCAGAAATATCTCTAAATTATACAAATAATCGTAATAATTGTTTAACAATAAAATTAATAATAATTGGTTAACAAATTAATAATTATTAATAATAAGTTTTATTTTTCTAATGCTACTATAAATTTTTAACTTTAAGCAAAATAATGAAATTACTTGTCTCAATAAATTTAATAATTTATTGTTTCAAGATTAATTGCAGTTTAATCACAGATAACTGAAATCGATTAAAGCATCTATGGCTGAAGTACGGAAACATCTGTGAGTTGTATAGCTTAGCTGACAGGAAGTATCGCGCAAGCGTGTGATTTCATTTCGTTTTCAGAATTGACAGTTTCATCTGCATTTATATACTAAGAAGCGTGTTTGTACGAATATTTTTATTTAACTCTAAGTTTCATGTTTAAGTTCTAAAATGATACTTTGAACTATGTTGAACTTATTAATAAAATTAACAAATGAGACAATTTTAAAAAGATATATAATGTACTTGTTTGATTGAAATGCTGATTACGAGTTGAAGCAAAGGTTAGAATGAGGAGCATTCTTAACATTTTGAAAATCTTTGTCGCTTTTTTTCATGACTATGCACGAGGATTATCATATACCATTATTACGATTTTGGTTCTGGGTTACTGTTTAGACCCGGCGCGATTTGCTTCACATTACACTTTTATAAAAACAGAAGATATTTACGATGAAATGGAAAGATCTTATCCTGCGAAGGATAATTCATGCACGATCATGATAAATCCCCGTAAACCATTTCAATTATTTTATCCCGAGGAACATCCTCGAGAAGATCCCGTAGCAATGGCGCGGCGTTTAGGTATATTACCTGGAGGACAATGGAAACCTTTAAACTGCCATCCTCTTTTCAATGTTGCCATTATTTTACCATATAGAAATCGTCAAACACAACTTACTGTCTTCATGAATTATATTCATCCCTTCCTACAAGCTCAAAATCTTGATTATAGAATATTTGTGATAGAACAAAGTCCAATGCGTGAGTTTAATCGTGCTAAACTTTTCAATGTTGGATATGCAGAGGCAACCAAAGTGAATGATTTTCACTGTTTCATCTTTCAAGACATAGATTTAATACCTCAAAACCCTGCCAATATATATGCCTGTACTAAAATGCCAAGACATATGAGTTCAAGTGTAAATACATTCCGTTACAATTTACCATATAATGGTTTATTTGGAGGAGCAATTGCATTAACACGTAAACAATTTGAAAGAGTTAATGGATTTTCTAATGTTTTCTATGGATGGGGTGGAGAAGATGATGATTTTTATAGTCGTTTACAATCAAGAGGTTTTCAAGTATGTTGACAATGACTGTCATCATTAATTATATTAACATGAAATATCATTACATTACTTTTTACGTTTGAATTAAATTTCAGGTTACGCGTTTTGGACCTGATATTGCTCAGTATTATATGTTAACACACAAGAAAGAATCTCCAAGCAATGCTAGATTTAAAAATCTTGAGAACAGTGCTAAAAGGTATGACACTGATGGAATTAGTAATTTAAAATACAGAGTTTTGAATCATCAATTAAGGCCATTATACTCTTGGATTTTAGCAGATGTTTAATTTTGATTTTCTTACTTTCTGTTGTTATAAATCAATATAGTTACTTAAAAAGAATGAAAGAATAATTTTTGTGATAAACTAGTTTGCAAATGGTAATTTATGAAGTTACTTAAGAAAAATAAAATTTTGATAAAAATAGTTATTAAAATTTTGTCAAGAGTCGCTTTTATGTTAGCACATGAGGCTTTATTTATATAACTCTATTATCTATCAATGTAAATTAAAGAATCCTTTGGTAACCTTCTGTTTTAAACCAAAGATATTATAATAATATACATTAGGAAATAATAAATTGCAGATTTGTGCAAGAAAGACAAATTATTAGCCAAAGATAGCTTGTTAATATTGTGTAGTATGATATTAAAATCCAATTTAGGTGCAAAACTTTTATTAGTAATTTGTTTTCTAAATATTATATAATGTATTCAAAGAAATATTTATTTCTATAATTTAAGAAACAATGTATTCAATGTAAACATATTTCCCAATTATGTTCCTGTTCAACTTGATGCGATATTTTATGAAAGTGGGTTTCTCCAGCAAGTGCAGATATAATAGTACAAATATCTCTTATACAAATAGGTAGTAGTTTGTTCCTCTAATCATATTGACAGTCGAAGTATTAGTGTAATCACATGAATCTTTTTCTAATGCATTAGTATTAACTTAATTATTTAGTATTTAATAATATTTTGTTAGTATAGTATTTATATTGACTGAAAAAAAGTAAATATACTATTGTAATTGTAATTGTATCAGTTATTTCTAATACTACTAAAATCACTGGAGATATAAGATACAGTAAGTTATCAGTTCAAATAAGTTTGTAACTCCAAACATAAGAAGTAATTGCAATAAGAGATATATTTCAACAGCTTTTAAGTTAATAATATTAATCTTGAATTGAGTATTAGTAATACAATAAATGTAAAAAAAGCTTTATCTGACGTGATTAAATAAAAAAGTCTTGGATCATTCAATATTAATTAAGATTTCAAGAAAAAAGTGTAAAAACAAAATTGTGAATTCTTTTACAGTAATATACAATTTTAATTTGAAACGATTAAAATCACAATTGCTATAATAAATATTTTATCTGCATGATACTTTTCTTGTGAAATTAATTATATTTGTGTAGTTAAATATACGTTAAAAGGTTTAATTACTATGAAACGGAAATAAATTTCAATTACTTGAAGATGAATGGGAGTGTATTGCAAGCAATAATGCCGCGTGTAATTTTTATTATCATATTTTAACCTATTACTTATTACATGGGTTTAGCATGTGTAATTAAAAAAATAACGATAAAATGTACGAATGATTGTAGAAATGTGTATGTATAGTGAAGATTGTGTGATCTTCAAAAATACAGAATAAAAAAAGAAAAATTGACACATGTATGAGTATAAATATAACTAGCTTTCTATATATACGTACATGTATATATATTATATTATATTATAATACATATACATATACGTGACATTCAAATTATATTATAAAGGAATTATGAAATTTAATCCAAACCAGTATAATATAATAAATATGCGATACACCAATGATGTATTTAGATACACTGGATCATAAGTATGCGAATTGATTTTAATTCAAAGCATTATAAAATTTAAATGAAATAGTATAAATTAATTTTCCTTAGATATTTCATAATGCTTCAACATAATGTTTTCCTTTTAAAGTACGAAAAGTACCGTATTGTGCATAAACTGCTAGACGAAAATTGCTTAATGAATGAATTATGTTCTTACTGGTATTTGTGACATATTCTTGGGTATGTCTTTTCTAAGTATATAAGTTTTATTAAATGAACGAACACACGTTATTGCATTTTGTTATAAGCATTACGCAAATAGTTCTAAAATGTTGCGAGTACTTCTTCAACAGCATGTAAGATACAACATATCACGGTTTAAGAAAAAGACAGCATATGCAACAACAAATAACTAATTTATATTATTTACTAAAAATCTTAAAATGAAAAATGTAATATCATGAGAGTGTAAAAAAAAAGAATAAAAAAGCCATATATATCCCAAGAATAGATTATCACGTTTAAATTACCAATATGTAATTAGCATATTATTCGGGGTAATACGCATACATACCTATTTATCTATGAAAAATTGGATACAAGTACTTATTTATATATAAAATCTATTTTCAATGATGCTTAATATATTATGTATCAGATAATTCTTGATAACGAGCATACATCATTTTCTTTACGCAATCTTTATATGTGTCCCCCGGTAGTGCACTATACGACGATGATTTCGCTCCTAAGCCAGCTGTAGGAACCCTTCTTTCTGCTTCGATGATACTTGTTCTGCCTTGATTTGATTTGCCAAGCCCCATTCCTTCACTCCACCCCATTTTTTGTAAAAGTTTATTACCAACATTATCTGAACCAATTCCAGCTCTTGTAGGTTCTTCGTATGATACCGATATCTCCTCAACCCTAGTTTTCAAATATTTTTCTTTGAGTTTATTTGGTTGTGGAGGTTCTGGTTCACCATATTTCGCCCTCCTTTCCTTAGCGCGGTCGCGATATTTGTTATTTCTTTGCTGAGGATCGTTTGGGTCTAAACCACGTACTTGATACCAATTTTCCAAATTTTGTTTATGGAGATCAGATAGTTGTTGATGTCGAAGTAGTGCTTCTTTACTTGGAAATTGTCGTTTACACAATAAACATGCTAATTTACTCCAATCTGTGTGTTGTCTTTCTTCTTGTTGTACATCTTCTATTTCCTCTTCCGTGTCGCTACCGCCACCGTATGCGGCAACCAAACCATTATTTCCGCTCTGGTCTTCATCCTCATGATAAGTGCTTGCAAGAGATTTTTTCTCTAAAATAGCGTATCCTGCATCCGCAGCTCCACTTCCAACACCCTGATTTCCATCACCACCAGCAAATTCGGAATTCCAGTTACTCTTTGCATTCTCTTTCTTTTGATTCAAGGTTTTTGCCCAGCGTTCCATATCTTTTGCTATTTTCTTAGCTACTTTTACTTTATCCTGTTTACTGTCTTTCTTTTTACTTTCGTCTTCTTTTGCTGCTTCTTGAGTTGCAGTTGTAATTGTGGAAGTTGTTGCTTGATTGGTAATTGTATTTGTTGAATCAGTACTGCTAGCTGTTGCAGTTATTGTAGTTCCACTGGATGTTGTTCCTGTTGCTTGCGTTACAGTTGTAGCAGTCTGCATATAAAAAGTCTTTAATAGTTAACATTAAAAAGTCTAATATTAATGAGAAAAATATAAATTTTAATTACCTTTGCTGGTTGATATGAGAAGGATTCAGCGTCCCAATATAAAAATTGTTGAGTATGACTATTATAATAATATTGCGAATTAGGATCATAATACAATCCTGTACTTGGATCATAGTAGTAACCTGATGACTCATCATAATGATAAGTGCTGACGTCCGGTACAGCTGTAAAAAACGCTAATATTACATTTTATAACCAAGTTATTTAAAAGCGCATCATTAGATAAAAATTTACAATATATTTTTCCGTCGCTACCATGTGCGGGAACTCTTCCACTCGCTAAAGTAGTACTGGTTGGTGCCGTGGGTGTTGGCCGATTTTTCATTTCTTCAGAATCCCCTAATTTTCTAGACGCTTGTAATTGTTGTATGGCTGACTGTGCTACAGCTGCAGCTGCATTCACACGATCAGTTTGATTTAAAGATGGCAAAGTAATAGCAGATCCCTGCATTATTTGATTCTGATAATATTGTGTATAATACTGAAGATAGTGAGCTTTTTGTGCAGGCGTCTTAGCATACAAATTGGCACTATACTCTGCCAATTGAGCAACATCATCCAAAGTATATCTTTGCGGCTGGTTGTCATTTCCCTTCCATGTATTGGTGTTATTTATTTGATGAAGTTTGCAATATGTAATTTCCACTTTTCTACCATCTACTACCAATCCCTGTTTTGTAAGAGCTGTGTGTAAATACATGGCATCTACTACGTTGCCCATTTCTAGATAGCATACACCTCTCGATGTATTTGTGAGGGAATCACGTCCAATACGGATACTTCGTATCGGCATTGTTGAAAGATTTTTCATTGCTTGTAAGACTGAATCTTCAGTCGTTAATACGTCCAATCCACGAAGAAGAACGGTATTTGTAGGATGAGGACTAATTTCATCGCTACCCTCTCCACCTTCTTCGCTCTCTGCTCGGGAGGCAGAACACTTGAAACATGTTTCGCGTCTCTTGAAATTATGAGCGCCACACTATAACGAACAAATAATATTAGCGTTCCATTAGATGAGTAATAAAACCTTATAAATAGATTTACCTTAACACAGTGCCAATCTTGTGTATTTTTTGCTGGTGGTTTATCTACATGGCAATCCTTTGGTATGCTGTACTGCATCAAAGCTCGATATTGGTCCTGCAGCATCAGCACTCCCTGAAACAGAGAATTTCAGTGTTATCCCGTCCAACATTCTCCCAAAGCAGCTGTATATCCCGGAAACTTTCTTCTTGGTTGACGAAATTAAACTTTTTTTTTTTTATATATATATTTTCTACTTCATAGCTTTCCGTCTCGAACGAATAGTAAAGAAAATGTCGTGGTCTTATAACGTGGGCCATTCCACACGACTTGCGGACCGACTATATATATATGTATATATGTACATGCAATGATTTGCTTGCATATAAATTTGTACGTGAATAAGAAAAAAGTCGTGCATAAAAATTGTCATTCTTTTAAAATGCTTGATCAATGAATAATTGCACCGGGAGAATAAAGTTAAAATATTAAAAGCAGACTTAAATAATAGAATAAAAAAAAAAGCTGTAATACTATGAACGTAGCAATATGTGATTTGTATACAAATAAATTGTCATGCCGGATATAATATATGCATTATATGTAGAAGATAAGACGATTGGAATGACCCTCCTCCGATCTTCATTGTTAGTCCACAAACTTTTATGATAGATAGAGGAT